CCCAGGTCCCCAGCCCTCGCAGCCACCACGCGGGACACGCCGCCTCTCGCCTGCGTCCCCTTGTCACATCCTTTTGCCTGCGTGACGCGATCTGGCAGGGAATCAGCCTCGAGAGAAACTCTGATGACATCCCTGTGAATGCCCCGGCACAGCCAGGGCGGTTTGTCTGGGCTGTCAGGGGGGGGACAGAATTTATCTGTCCCCCGCTGGTGACCCCAACCCGGGGCTGCAGCAATCCCACTGCCCCCATCAACACACCGGGTCCTCAAGGGTACCTCAGCCACAGGATCCACAGCAGGAACACTGCACAATGACACGATAAAATAGCTATAAATGAGCAAAAAAAATAAAAGCCCTCTCATCTGAGCCTGGCTCCCTGAAGTACTCCCCTCTTCATCATCGCCTTCCTCTTCTGGGGCTCTGGGTATTTCCAAAAGGGAGCTCGAGTGGAAACCTGGAGCCCCAGTTTAGCTCAGCCTTTATCCTGAGCATCATTTAAATCATAAAAATTACAGCCGAGCCCAATTCATTACAGCCGGGGAGCAGCTGACAGAAATGAAAAGGGAGAGAAGACTCCAAATTGATGCTTTCTCACCGTTTCAGCAAAATAACCAATTTGGAACAAATTACGGGGCTCCCTTCTCTACCGGCCTTTTGAATTGCCTCAGAGCGAAGGCACATTTTTCATCGTGTGGCATTTCCTCCATGGCAGGGATCGTTAATGATTCCTTTTAACGAAGCACCTGGGGGCAGGTGAACCCGGCCACGCTGCATCCCTGGCACTCTGTGAGCGGGACCAGCCCTTCCCTTGGCACTAAAGGAGAGGGACAGCAGCAGGAAGGGGAAGGAACAAGGGCTCACGAGGGACAAGGGACGTGCCCAGGGTCACCTGCAAGCAGGTGGCACAGCCCGGAGCCAGGACAGAAAAATAGCCCATTTATACCCTTCTCCCCCCCACAATTTTATAAAGGTCAGAGCCCTCTGCCTCCCCCCTGCTGCTTTCTGCTTATTTTGGGGTTTTAGAGCAGCCCCGAGAACAGAGCCTGTCACGTTTGCGCTGACAGCTGCAGAAGTACAGAACTCTCCACTAAGTCTGCCCTGGGGCGAGCCTGGTCATATTCAATGTTTGGAAGCAGACGCACATCTGTCATTATTTTTTAATTAGATTTTTATTTCCTACCGCTAGTATTTCATTGTAATTTCCGCCACTCCTACCCGGACCGTGCTAATATAATCACTTCGGAGAAGAGTGGGAACAGCCAGCCTACTTGTTCGAACATCCCGCTCCGCAGAAGGAAAAAAAAAATCTGTTAAATACCCAGCCCCTGCAGTAATTACAAGCTTAAGGACATCAGCGGGTGCTGGAATGGGCCATCAAAGCGCCGGTGCTGGCAAAGGGCTTGTCAGCAGGCTGCTGGGAGCATCATTTGCACAGAAACTTCAAAAAAAAAAAAAGTTGGCATCTGCTCACAATACTTGTCAGCGATCCGTTGCTCAAGCAAGGTGAAGTATAATTAAGAATGGTTTTAAATCAAAAGTGATTTCTGCCCTCAGCTTGGTGATATTTCTGGCCCGTATCAGACTGGAGGTCGGGATGAGATGACTGCTCGGTCTAAAAATATTGCGGAGGGGAGGCTGCCGGAGGAATTCCAGCTCAGGCTCCCCAGTGCCTCCCCAGGATGTCGGTAACGGCTGGGAGCAGGGAACAGATGTTTTCCCCGAGACGTTTCTGAGAGCAAGCCCCCGGGAACAAGAGCAACTGCTGCATTTACAGGAAAATTCACCCAAAACAACCTTCGGAAAAGCAAAGTTCCACCGTCTGCCGGAGAGGCCCTGGAGCAGCAGGGCAGGACAGAGCACAATGCGCTCCTTGTTGTGCCAGAAGCGCACCCCGATCCCTTCCTGAGCCCGGTGGTGATGGAGACCCCAACGCGCCCCAGCTCTGATAACCCAGGCACTGAACCGGAGCCGTTCGAGGTGCAAGGCAAGCGAGCAGCTGCTGTTGCTGTCCCGTGATGCCTGCCAGCACCGTGCCCACGCACACACGGGTAGGAAGATGATTTCCAGAGGGAGCAGGAAGCAAAGAAGTCACCATTCACCCACTGCGACTCGAAGCAACACCACAGCCCCAGTTTTACCTTGCAGCACAGGAGTGAGTCCTGAAACCTGGGGGTACAGAGCAGGGACACCCCCTGGCCAGGGTTTTATCATCCACCCCAGCAGCATCCCCCCACGGGCACCGCCACTCCACGGGGTCCCAGCATTTCCCAGCACCTCACCCGAGCCCTTCCCAGTGCTTCCCCTCTACCTCCAACCTCGGCAAATTCCCAGCAAGCTGCTCGCAGTGCCTAATTTTCAAAGCAAGACAAAACCTCCTAGAGAGCCAAGAGCCCCCCAACTCCTTTGGACCACCCTGCTCCTTATCGTAAGGGGGCTTTGTCCCTGCGGTGGTCCTGAGCTCACCAAGGCTGGGCAGCAGCTCCCAGAGCTGGGAGAACTATGGGAATTTGACAAGTGCAAACAAAAACAGGGAGTGGGAAAAGCAGAAGTGCAAAATCCTGATTTAAAACTCTATTTGTGTGCTATAACAGAGCATAAAAAAATAACGTGGCATTTATAATTTCAAATGTTAGCAGTCACCTTAGGCAGAGAGGGCGCTTACAGCCCGACCGGTTACAGCTTTACAAACGTGCTGTGGAGCTGCAACGTCTTAAGAAAATAACTTTTCTTCAGTCAAAACATTGAAATTCAGGGCATTGCGAGGCCTTCACCTTTTCCTTGAGGAGGTGTTTGAAACACGAGAGAGTGAGAAGCCCTCACTCTTGCCACACACACACTTCACAAGGCACGGTCCTAACCCGAGCAGCAAAATCCCAGCTCAGCACAGGGCAGTGAGGCTGGGCTGATCCCTTCTCCTTGCTCTGCCATTTGAGGGAACCTGGAAACTTATTCAGGGGCTAAGGAGGAAGAAAGCATTCCGAGGAAAAATAATGTTAAATAAAGTATTCTGCTACAGCAGTGGGCACGGTCTGCGCATATATCGGTGCATGCACACACAAACACATCTGTGTGTCTGCTGCATTTCAAAGATTAAAATTAAAGCTTTAGGGGCTTTACAACATTTCCTACATATTTGAGACAGCAAGCTTCACTTTTTGTTGTTGTTAAACCTGCTTTGCCTGAGCAACGTTCTAGATAGATATCCCACGAACTGTTGTTACGTGTTCCAGGAACACAGGGAAAGACAGTTCACGGGGGAAGGACCATGCTTCAAGCCATTAGAAAAATCAAAGTGATCCACGCAAGACAGCTGATGAGCGAGGCCGTAGTTAAAAAAATGACAGCACCTCGGTCAAGCCCTGTCAGATGTGCCAGTTCAATAACATCCGTGATTGCCCCAGACTTGCTGCTCTCAGAAAACCCCAGACAACACCAAGCACGGTGCTGGGATAAAGTATTGCAGGCATGTGTGTGCATGGATGTGTGCACACGCACACGTATGTGCACACGCATGCACACGGGAACAGCAGCAGCCCCCCTGCACGGCACAAAGCCTGTTGGCACGGGCAGCAGGGAGACGCACGGCTCTGCTGGAGGCTCCTGCAAAGCCCCGTCCTTGCTCCAGCAGCGGCGCAGAAAGTTCAGGCTGATGACAATAAAAGCCCCCGAATTCCCAGCCGTGAAGCTGTGCGCGAAATGGGTGCGAGAGCAAGCGTTACACTTCGCTCGCTGCCGCAGCTCAACTCAATGAGCCTGAGCCTGCCAAAATAAAAAAAAAGAAAAAAAAATACAAAAACGAAAGCCACAAACACCACAGAGCCTTGCGAGCTTTTTTAACTGCTTCTCCTTCAAAGGCGCTGCCTGCCCCCTTCTCCCCACCCAGTCTCGTTTCACATGAAAAGCATCAAACGCTCAGCTCACGGTGCGGGTGCAGCAGGCAGAACGGAGCCGGAGGATGCCCAGGAGTCAGAGCTGACCCCCAGACACAGAGCAAGGACAAAATAAAGCCGTGTCAGCCCACAACCCGCTTCTTCCTCTTTTTTTTTGCAGCCCTGGGAAAAATCAATAAGATGCAGTGAATCAAACTCTGCTTGAATCCCATAAGTAATTAGGATTAGCAGGCTGGGAGCTGAAGAAACAAGGCTGCATGTGTGCTTGGGCAGGGGAGGGACTGGCTTGTGGGTGTACGATACAGGGCTGAGTCGATTCAAAGAAAAAGAACAGCTTTTAAATGGCTTTTCAGGCAGGATGGAAATCGGGAACAATAGGGATCTGATTTGCTTCAAAAAAAGAAAAATCTAATGAAGGCAATTGAGTACTGCAAAACCCCGAAGGGTGCAGGACAGGGCATGGAAAAGCCCCTACAGGTGAACCAATATTTGTGCTCGATGCTGAGCCTCTTACCAGCCACCCATTCCTGAGCCCAGGCTCCTTAAATTCCACATATTTCTGTAGCTCTTTCCCAGCAGCAAATAATCCACGTCAATTTTTCACTACTGAGAGTTCAGCCTACAGCCAAAACTGCAAAAGGGAAAAAGAGACGCCCCCCTCTCCGTAACCTTAGCAGAGCTACCCAGAAATCAGGAAGATTTAAATAAAAATCATAATAATAAAGGAACGATTCATGCATTGATCGGTCTCGATTTGCTCAAGTAACTCAGCAAAAGCTGGCTGCTGGCACGAACACTTGAATCCCATCCGTGCAGCCGGGGACGTGCCCAGGACGAACCCCCCCGGACCTTGCCCTGCATCCACGGGCTGGACACCCGGTGCCACCGCAAACCCGGCTAAAACCCAGACCTTGCTGTGCCGAGGGCTCCGCAAAACACACGCAAAGAAGCTTCACCTCTAAACCCTGCCCTCCGTACCGAAACGAGCAGCGACCCCGCAGCCGGCTCTCCAGTATCTACCCAGTAAAGAGGAGCGCGAAGCGCTGGGGACCGAGCGGGATGCCAGCGGCCGGGCGCACGCGAAGGAAGGAAAGTGGCGTTTTCACCCACCTAGCAGCATTTTGGATCCGGCCGCGTCTCCTCCACGCTGCTGGTATCTCCCTCCTTCCCTTGGCGTTGACTTAGGGCTGCATGGCTCGCCCGCAGCCGAGCGCCGCCGCGCCTGGATGGAGCCGCCGGGACCCCAAATGGAAGCGCTGCGCTCCGCTGCTCCGCGCCCCGCAGAGGTGCGAGCCGCTCTCCCACGCGTCCTGCCCAGCCTCAGCCTCTCCCAGCTGAGGTCCCGGCCCAGGGAGGGGGATTAGCATGAAAATCGGGTGGGAGGGAGGTCGGAGGAACCTCGCTGCGGTGCCCCCTTCTCCCCGCTCCTCCTCCTCCTCCCCTTCCCTGGAGCAAAGCACAAGTGCTCTTTTCTTTTCCGAGGCTGGCGCAGAGTAAACTCCAGGGCTGCCAAAGCAAAGAAACTTGGAGCAGAGAGGAAGGAGCCGGCAACCGGCTTCAGCTGCACGCCCCCAAGGATCTGCCCCCTCCAAGTGCCGAGGATTTCCCCCCAATTAGGGAGGGTAATTTGGGGAAGGGGCCGGGATGCGGCTGTGCCAGATCTGTGCCGCTGGGCTAGGACCTGCTGGGGTTGACTGGGGAGGGGATTGATGGCTGCGGCAGCCCCTGGTTAGGGAGCTCCAGGGGATACCTCCCCAAAATCCCCCCCGCGAGGGGCAAGCGTGGATGGTGGGATGAGCAGAGCTCCCTAAACCCCAGGATCTCATTCTCTTTGGAAGCCAACCTCATCCTGCACGCATCCCCCACAGCAAGTCCTTGGCTGATTTCCACACAGTTTTGCCCCAAAGCAGCCCCAAGGGGGTTCAGGACTCGGGAAGGAGGTGCAAAGGCTCACCCCACACCCCCAGCTCGTTCCTTTTTCTATTAAAACCAAGACCCCCCCCCCCCCGAGTCCACCCACCCAGCTCCGCAGGATCCCCCCCTCCCCAGCACAGCATCCCTGGCGCAGCGCTTGGAGCTGCCCCTGGCCGCCAAACTCCTCATTAAACACAATTCCCCCTTAAAAGGGAAATTAAAACCAACTCCGCGTGGGTGTCAAGGCATCAGGGATGACGGGAAGGGACATGCACCCGGGGGACGCCGGCTCTGGCTGCTGGGAGAGGGGCAGGGGCTTCCCCAGCCTCCTGTGCCGGGGGGGTTCTGTGCGACCCCCCAAGATTTGCCGTCCTCCCCCTCGTTTGCATTGCAAAGCCGGGGGGAACCGAGCATCCCCGGCATCTCCACGCTTTTTGCTTTTCAGGCTGAGCTCCCAGCCTCCGTAGGAGAGTTTCACGACCTGATTGCACAGCGCCTTTTAAAGGGAGAACTGATTAGGAACCTGCTCGTGAAATGAGGTGAAAAAAAAAAAAAAAGAAAAAAAAGAAAAAACAATCTTGTCAACCCCCGTGCAGGCTGGGGATGAAAGGAAGGGAAGAACAGGGAGGATTTAAATACTTTCCTCAAGCAGACAATTCAAAGGAGAGGGCAGAAGACTGTCTCCTTCAGGTACGAGCAGAAAGAGAACCGAGACAAACAGCAAACCACCAAAACCCGGAGGAGCTGCAGCCAGACAGGGCACTTTTGGGGTAGATTCGCACATTTTGGTGCCCCGTGGCAGCGTGCGGCCGTGCTGGGCGCAGGGTATTGCTTTCAGGGTCGTTAGCAGTAAGTTTAGCCGGGCACTCGCTAATCTGGAATTGACAGCTGGGTCCGGCCCGCCTGTTGCCAGCTCCCAGCAGGCTATTTAAACCTGATATTAATTTGCTTAATGTCAGCAGCAGTTTGGCGTTACCGCGAGCGAGCATTAAGCAGAGGGGAACGCGGAGGTGTAAAGACCGCGAGGACGGGGCTGACACCCAATGACCCCAGGCAAATTTAGGGCATCTCCCCCCTGCTCCTGCAAGGCCCGGCTCCTCCAGCGTCAGGCATTTTGCCCAGTTTCACCAATAAATGATTTTCCTGCCCTGGCTGGCGCCACATTTGATTTTCCTGCCACATTGGCTGGCATTGCCACAGCCAAGCAAGCGTGAAATGAAGGGGCGGGAGAGAGAGAGCGCAGCGTGGGACGGGTGCGGCGTTTTCTGGCCGGGCCTTTGTGGCCAGCTGGAGAAGATGCTAATTGCAGGTACTGATTACAGACCACCGCTATTAACGCCTCCTGCCCTCCCCTGCCCAGCTGCAGCTGATGGCTGGAATTCCCCCCGCACCACAGCCGCGGGTCCGGCCGGGGCATAACTTGCTATATTTGCTCGTGGATGCTGCACGAATCCTCCCACCAGGTCCCGGACCTGCTTCACCCAGTGACAGCACCCAAGGGAGCAAAGCCTGGGGCCGCTTCTACCCAAAACATCCTCTTTGGGACGGGGCTGCCCGAGGGCCTGGAACAACAGGCTCTGCAATGAGTGCAGGATGCTAAATAAAAAGTCAACGCCGTTGGGCATCAACGCGCCAGGTGCTGCGCGCACCCCGCGGGTACCATTTTCTGACACGGGTTGTTAACGAAATTCAGGGGCCCTAATGGCAGAGCATTAGGAGAAGGAAGCGGCGACAGAAGCAGATGTTTCTTTGCAAAGCCACGGGGGCTGCAGCAACCCTCTGCAGAGCTTCCAGGAACGGGGAGAGCCGAGGAGCTGGGGGGCAGAAGGGGCCGGGCGCAGATGGGGGGGAAGCGAGGGGCTGCACGTCGCAGCCTGCCCCGGCACGGCCGCCGCTCCCTCCCCAGCAGGGCTCATCCCAGGGGAGGCGAATCCCAAAAGGAGGATCCCCAGACAACCCCCAGCAGCTCTGCAGTGCCTGGCTTGCTCCAGCAAGTCTGCTCAAGCTGCGCCCGAAGCCCAGGCGAGCAGCGACGCAGAGGGAGAAGGAGAGGGCTCAGGAAACAGGAAAAAAAAGTAATTAAAAAAAGTGAAATTAAAGAGCTGCTCTTCCACTTCTCTCCTCCCAGCACCTCCACTGCAGCCACAGCCAGCACCACGCACACCCCCGCACTCCTGCTGCTCACTACCACCAGTATGCATCCCACCCATTAACCAGTCTGGCCCAGTTTGGGCACAGGTGTCCCCATGTCACCGATTTCACTGGGCTCCTTGCGAGGATGGGCACCAAGAACCAGAAGGGAGAGGTCATTCTGAAACCTACTGAGGCCAGTGTTAAAATTCTCCCCAGCCAAGACACAGCCGGGATGGCCTCTCACCAATTTTTAGCCTCCAAAAGCAGCCTGGCAAATAACGCCTGGATTTGGCAAAAAGCACGTAAATAAATGAGAAAGGAGACAGAGGGATAAAAACCAGCAGGAAGCTTCCCCCCGGGACTGACGGGGCTTCCTTGAGCCTTTCTGGCTGGCTTTGTTCTCCAAGGATTTAGGGTATAATTTGGGGGTGAAAGACGCCAGATAGGATCAGGACTGATACACCTGGAGGACGTGTATCGGTTTTCTTCCTGCTCTGAAATTTGAGCCCTGCCATAAGCAGAACGGCTCAGGCGTGGAACAAGCGCCTGGGGTTGATGCTGGCAAGGGCAGGAAGGCAGGCGCTGACCTTCCGTGCTCCTGGCCCCCCCGCTCGGGATTAAGATAACAGATTTTAAGGGCTGCCTTCCCCCTGGGGGGGTTCTCACACAAAGGGGATGGGGTTTGCTGCTGGCCAAAGGTGCACAGGGTTTATTTATTTATTTTTGAAACAACTTCCCTTGATCCTTTAATGAACTAATTTCATTTTAATGAATTCTTCCTGGAGATTTCTGTGTTTACTTGGGTGAGAAGAGCAAGGTGGAGCAGGGAGCCAAGCGATGCCATTCACGTGCAAGGAGAAGGCGAGGGGCAGCGCAGGGCACCGGAGGCTTTACCACAATGCCAAAGGTTAACCCCAATTTTCCTTGTGGAGGCAAGGTCTGGTCTCATCATGTTATCTGGGCTCCCAACAAACACCTAGGCTTTTCTTTCCTCTTGCTTTAATCTCGCTGTTTCGGGAGCGGAGAACAATATTGCCCTTTCATTAATTCCAGCTCCTGGGAGAAATCTCAGTGATGGAAACACTCAATTAAGGGCCTTTTTTTGTAGCAGAGCAAGGCATTAAAGCATTGTTTGCCCTTCGTTTTAGCACTGATCCACCTCCAGAAAAAAAAAAAAAAAAAAAAGCAGCTTGAAGTTAAGTATTCTCAAAATTCTCATCCTGTAAGAGCCACAGGAGCTGCTGCCCAGGTGTCACCATGGGGAACGGTCACCACGGGAAGCAGAAGCACCACGTCCCAGGTCTGGTGACATTAAATAGGGGCTCAGTCCATTGTCACCCTCACAGGGGACAGGGCTGGATGCCCGCACAGAGCCCCAGGGGACAAGCAATGACTTGAAAACAGGAGATGCCTTGCTCAGAGCTGCAGGATTTGGTCCCCATCACCATTAATCACCCCTTTCAAAGGGAGTTGCCTGATGACAAAGGCATCCCAAACAGGGCTGCAAATAGGTGGAGAAACGGATCACCTAAAGCCATTTAATTACTGGGAGAAGAGATGGAAATTGCACCTTTTGAGCATTTCAGAGACTGTGTCATATTTTCCCTTTGATTTAGGAGGGTGGGAGGGAGCCCCCAACCCCACTGCAGGATGACCACTGGGACGGCTCCTGCAGAGAGCCCGGGGTTGGGAACAGAGGAGAAAAACCTCAGACTTTCCACAGCCATGAGTGGTGTTAAACAAAAGCACATCCTTCCTAAAACCCCTTTTTCAGGTCTTCAACCACATCCCAGGACCTCAAGACGCTGCTCCTGGTGACACGGCAGCAATGAAGGAAACAGAACTATTCTTTGTAGGTTTCCTTCCAAGGAAAGTCTTCCTAATTGCAGGTGCAAATTAGGAAGCCCAATTAGGCAGAAGTCTTGCTCTAACACTAATTGCATCCGAGGCACTGGGATGAGGTCAGTGCGAGGCTCATAGGGCATGCACCGTGCAGTTCTCGTGTGCTGATGCTCAGAGCTGAGCACAGTCAATCCAACAGCCGTCCTAGCCATGCACGGGCACCACAATTATCATGGGGGCTGTCAGCTTTAATTAAGACACCCTCGTGCTCCAAGCAATGGAGCCAACGGTGGTCACCATCACCACGGCACCGATCAGCAATGATCAAGTTGAGAACAGCTCCAAAACGATTGATCCTTAAGCACTGACCATAAACCTTAAGGAAGGAGCTCTAAAACGATCAGTCCTTAGCAAAATTTGGAGCATCCTCTGAGCAACCCCAGACTGCAGCACCAGTGCCCGACCTTGCAGCCCGTGCCAGCCGAAATGCAGTGACCGGGGCCAGGTCCCCACCGCGAGGACACAGAAGCCCCTCGGGGGCTCGGCTGTCACGATTTCTTCAGTTCACCAGAATCTGTTTTTTTTTTTCCTGCATAAACACGCTGCGATACAGCCTGTTAGAGGAAGGAGAGATCACCCTGGGAAAGATGACATCCAGCGTGACGAGGGGAGATCATCTCTTCATAGAAAATTTTATATTGCTTACGACTTACTGTCTGGGAACATAAAACAGTTTAACCAGCCAGCCCTAAATCACCCTGACAGCTTTACACTACCCACAAATCTCCGCTCGCACTGATCCAGCTCCATCCTACCTATCTCCCCCTTCCCTATTTTTAGGTTTTATTAGTATTATTTTTGATGTGTGCTTTCTCCACTCTTTTCTCCCGGAGCCTGACACGCGTGTGCACACGCATCGAGACGGGGCAGAGAGAAGCTCCGGATGGGAAGTGCCAAGCTCCCAGCTCTGTTCCCTGGGACCCCAGACAAGGCACCCCCGGGACTGCATCACCCCCCTGCTGCTGCCCTTTGGGACTTGCACATCCCTCAGGACCCCCGTGCTGGCTGCAACA